TCAACTGTCCAGGTTTCTACTCTCTTTCTCATACCTGCAGTATTATAACATGCAGTTATGGCTAAGTGGCAACAGTTGGAAGTCAACTGTTTGATCTCCTTTTCCTGTAGGTAGTTTTCCCCAATCCTTACTGACTTCAACTTTGTATTTTCAAATTGTAAACAATTATAAAAATGTTTCAATTCCAAAACAGATACTATACAAACCATTCTAATTATATACATGCATAGAATATATATATATATTTATACATATAAACCAAAACCAGGCCAACTTTAGGAAAACAACATATTACATGTGTTTTCCCCATCCAAGCAGCACAAAAGTCAAACAAGCCTAACTGAAGCCAAACAGTGCTTTTTTTCTGAATGAGCATACGAAGCTTTAATTATCTCATCTTTTAGAGCATGTCTTACTAGTTTTTGTTTGTATTTTGGTACCAGGGGATTGAGCCCAGGGGCTCTTACCCACTGAACCACATTCCCAGCCCTTTTCTAAAATTTATTTAGAGATAGGTTCTCAGTAAGTTGCTTAGGGCCTCCCCAAGTTGCTGAGGCTCGCTTTGAACTCATGATCCTCCTGCCTCAATCTCCTGAGCTACGAGGATTATACGTGTGTGCCACCACACCTGGTCCTTTAGAGCATTTCTGACTTGAAGATGTCATGCAATAATTGGGAGCAGTAGGTTGCTGTATTTTGAATCACACTTGAACTTTCCAAAGCTCATAATCTGGGCTAAATATGTACTAATGTCTATTGACTTTCTGTGAGTGATAGGAAAGAAAAGTTTCACGGCTTGCAAGTTGGCTGGAAAGATATGTGCCAACTACTGAAGGTCTCACAAAGATTCTGAGCAATGGATTTTTCAAAATTCTTCATTGTGAAGAATTTGAAAATATCAAGGTCTTCAGGAACTGTAACTGGAAATTACATATAAAACTTTGTCCCTGTGAAATTTCTGTATTATGTAAAATTTATGCCATGTTCCAATGATAAGTAGCATTCATAGCTTGGAGTCAAATGAGAAACATGCTTTTTATAATCAGGTTAAATGCTTATTTCAATTTCATGTTTTGTGTCATTTACATAGACCACATGTCTCAAGTAATTAACGCAATCATGGGAACTAGAAAATGTTTAAAGGGATGTATTACCTAAAAGGTAATAATGGGAAAACTTGTGCTACATGTGAGGAGTTGCCACATTCTCCTGAGCAGTGATATGGACAAAAGGGGACTTAGTCTCCCCAAATGCTTTGATACAGCAGAAATTTCCCTGGGAGAAGTTGCCAATCATGATAGCCACTATCTGCCTTTGTAGTTAACACACAGTATCAAAGACCAGCAGAGTTTTGTTTCTTCTGCACTTAACCCTTAAAATTTAACTTCTTAGTTTCCTGCTCAGGTTTAAAACAATTTCTTTGAAGTCTTCCTTGGGAACTATACTTCTATTTTAAAATGGAATATTCTCCATGAATGATTAATATAAATTTCTTATTCCACCTTTATGATGATAAATTCAAAGCAAACTGAGGAGCAGTCTTCAGTACCATTATCTCTTACAGGAAATGTTTTAACTTCATGGCTGGCTGCCTCTCAACTATAGTTTATAGGAAATGCCTTCAGGTCACCTACAGATGCATCCATTTCCATGCAAAAATTGTTCATACATATATAAAATACATATGTATACATGGCAGGATTTTGTGCACTAATCCTTGTTACATTCGGGGGTTGAAGTGTTCAAGGTTTCCAGTGGTTTGATGACATGATTTTCCAGTACTTGTTCCAAGCTTCTTTTATAATCATTATTTCTATGAAGTCATTCAACTTGGAAATAATTGCTTGCCAAAATTGAGTTTCTCTGGTGAACCATTCAACACAGCTTTGGTTTTTACAAAGAACACCATTCTTTCTGTGCTGTTAATCTTGGCTTAGAAACTACATATTATCCTTTCCACTTGAACAGTTCAGCTCCTGTTCTCTTAGTTATACTCTGGAGCCATTAGACTTACTTCTGGAATATAAATGTGAGTCACCTAGTCAGTGACTTTCAAAATAGATTTTCCAAATATAACTATATGGAACCTCTTCCCATTTAGTAGCTAGTAGAAATGTAAGGACTCCCCAAACAGTTCCCAAACTCGCTTTGTATAAGAAAACTATTAGTTTTTTATTACATGGAATTTTGTTACGTAGTCTCATTTTAACTTTCTTTGGTTTGTTTTTGATACCAGGGATTAAGCCAGGGTTCTCCCCAGCCTTTTAAATTTTGATACAGGGTCTTGCTAAGTTGCTGAGGCTGGCTTTGAACTTGTGATCCTCTTGCCTTAGCCTCCCAACAGGCATGTCCCGAGGCCCCAAACTTCAATTTTAACTTTTGATATTGTTGCAATATCATGTCCCAAAACTTGACATAGAAGCTAAATTATTAAAATAAATTAATGCGTCCTGTAAAAACACTCCTAAGCACTTTATTCTAATTTTGTTTGTTCTTTTAATCTTACCTCATTTTAATATTGCACTTCTGAAATGCTGTTAACAGAAAGTCATAGCTTGAAAATTTGATAAACAAATTAATAATTTAGGTATTCAGCAGATTCATGTAAACAATACACTACACTTTCACTATCAATTTATCTCCCAAGCAGAATGACTCAAAAATCTTTGAAATGGAACATGCATGGACTCAAGAAAGCAGGCTGCTCATGGCCTGTACGTACACTATGGAAATTAAAATTGCTTTGTTTTATGTTCACAATGAAGTCTCTGAAGGTAGAGGATTTTCCTTTGTCAAATACTAGTGAAGTTATGCCTGCATGTCTTCCATTTTCAGAGAAACTGGGTCATGGATAATTACCAGGCAAAACATGTTTGTAAAGGTGATTTGCCCACAAGAATTCTCACACACTGAAAATGTATCAAATTCATGATGCTACTCCATCAAAGTTGAATACAGTCCACTGAAAAGGGAAATGTTTAAAACAATAGAAAACCAGAAATATATGGCTTGATATTAAATAATCAGGTGATTTAAATTTTCTTCTTGGCAGAAAAATTAACTGAACCACTCAAAATTTAAAGATTCACATGAAAGAATGTCTTCATAACAAATGTATTTTATAATCAAACAGATTTTATCAATGCAAGAAAGTTTGCTTCATTGCGTACAAGTCTATTTATACCATCAGGAAAACTTTTGGGCATACATACAAAATGAATTCTATTGCATGTCTAATTTAAACTGCTTTCCAATATGCTTGCCATTTATACACACCAAAGGGTGATGAGGAATTTTTATTTGATGATTTTTTTTCATACACATAAAAGCACATGTATGTACATGTGCACAAGAATATGCACTGAATTTTTTGTTTCTTTAATTAAAATAGAAAGCAGGCATGCCTGGTTTAATACTGTGCAAATGCTGAAAACTATACAAGAACAAAAAACACTGTCAAACCCTTTTGCTACTCTCATTTCTAATTGTGTGATTATAGAGTAGGAAAAATGATAGTCTACACTGCATCTCCTTTCTGAGCATTTTAAAACAGAAAGTTTAAAGAAGACATTTAATAATATTCCTCACTTTTATCAATGATTGTTCATATAATTCAGGTGCTGAAGACAGTAGGGATCTTGGGTAAGAATTCAAAATTTTAAAAAATTCTAAATCCTGTTTTGGAGACTAGGAGTATAGCTGTGGTAGAGTGCTTGCCTAGCACGTGTGAGGCCTTGGGTTTGATCTCTAGCACTTAAAAAAAAATTGTCTCATATGCTGGGTTTTCTAAATATGTTTTAAAGAAAAAAAATGAACGGAAGACATGTAATTTAGAAGTGCTGTCTAAATGGTTTACACAGCAGAGAAGACACAAACCAAACCACATCAGTGAAACCACTTTTATTTTTATTTTTTTTCCACATAGATAACTTCATGTCAACTACAAAAATCATGAAATGAACTGCTCATGAAACTGCAAACTCAAAATCACTGGAGTGATAAACAGGCTTACCCCAGATGACTGTTTTAAAAAAGTAACCAGGTTAAAAATTCATATTTAAGTAGTAAACATGTCCTATATTTAAAAATAATACAGTATAGCAGTAGAGAAATTAATAGTGTAAACAGCATGAAGTATATTGTATTTTTTAAGACAGATGAAATTTCTAGGCACAGTTTTAGTCATTAAAGAGGACACAGAGGCATAGGTTAGTGTGTGCTGCTCTGTACAAAAATACAGTCTGAATAAATTACATTGCTAGCCATACAATTAGACATCACCAGTCAATTTGTTGCATCTTTAGTAATATACAGGTACATGCTAWTCCATATATATCATTTATATTTCAAACACATAGGTCTCTCTATTTATGACTTTAAAATTTACATGTTGAACTTACAAAAAGCTAATTACTTGTGCAAGAAATCCGAATAACTAGCCCTGCTGAGTACTTTTATGATATGCATGTGTGTATATATATTATTTCTCTAAGATAAACAATGGGTTTGTGGTTAACAATTTTGCTTATGAAAACATCAAACAAACCTAAAGCCACAAAGACATAATGTTAATGTTAAGTGAAAACTTCACTCATGTTTATTCCAATTTTCCTGTTGTGCTGAGCCTTGTTAGGTACGAAACACTCTAAAATATTATTGGTGGAAGAAATACAGTGTATGGCTCTTTCTTGGGAAGAGGGAAATGTTACAGAAGAAATTTACTTTTCAATAAATGGCAAATATGTATGCCTCAATCTGTAGCATATTCTGCTGCTTCCCAGCTTGTCATACTGACAGAAAATAAAAACTTGATAAGACTCTAGAAAATATATTGGTTTAACAGCATACTGCATCCCCCACTAGGTCCAAGAAAAGTGCCTCATTAATGTCAGCACCATAGTACTGTACTTTCATTTTTCAGGAATAAAGAGATCTCACAGTAGAGTGTATCTGGTAGCTGAAATCCCTACTCAAATATATTTCTCATGCTGTTATGACAATAGGCAATTAACTGCAATACAGTCTGCCCCAGATTTTACTATTTCTCAAGAAAATCACTTCAAAATACTCTATAATGCTAATACCTTTCTGGAAAATTTCCTCTCATAGTTTCTTATGATTCTTTATAGAATCATACACGTTTATAAAGGTTTCTCTCTAGGATACATTTAATCACCTTTGTCTATCACTACTAAACCTAGTAATAATAAACCTGGTACTTCATATTTACTTTTTGATTCTATAGAAAATTCACAAGATGTGGCCTTTTGGCATTTGAATAATAAAATAGTTTTATTTGAGGGGAGGAGGGCTGTTGTTTTGGCAACCATTCTTAAGACAAGCTGAAAGCAGAACTCTGTTCTGGGAGGTAAAGCAAATTATTAAACACTATTGATGTGGTCCTACTTTTAATGGATTTTTCAATACAATAGCACACAGGAACGTTTTAAGTTATTTTTCCAATGCTTCTTTCTGCAGAAGGGCCAAACCAGAACATATTATTTTAGTGTCTTTGTTAACAAAAATAATTATTTATAAGTTTTATAGAATTGTATATTTTATATAAAAATAGGTTCATAATTAAACTATCCAAATTTGTATATTAAACAGAATTAATATAAGCTTGCAATGAGAGATTAGTTGCAAACTTAGTACCTAGTATTGATATTTCCTTCCCTTGAAATAGTCAGTAAATGATTCCCCTAACATAAACCCATCATAATTGTGTGCACAAATCAGCCCATCGGTTAACTTTAGAGGACCAGGTGAAAACCAAACAAATTCTACTCCTCTATCAAGAAATTTATATAAATCTATCACTATTTCTTTTTTTTAAATGAAGACATTTAAAATACTTGCAAAAAATAGCAGCCTTCTATTTTAATGAATTTTACACAAAGTGATCATTCTAATTGCTACTCTCTTTTGAACTACAGTGCTTACAGAAGAATCATTAATTTTAAGATTAACACCATTTCAATTTTTCTTCTTAGGCAATTCTATTAACACTTTCCAGTGAAACAGTACAGAACATAGAGCAAAAGCTTTAAGGTATATGCATTTTTTTTATAGTAAATAAGTGTGAATACCAATCTAAGCCTCTTAACAATGTGTACAAGGTTAGTGTTTCAATCCACTTCACTAGAGCAAATGTTAATTGTATATGTAATTAGTAAATGATATGTGGATGGTTATGGAACAACTTATTACCATTTATACTAATGGTTCACATTCTATAAAAATACGTAGGCTTGTTACATATACACAATTGTTTGCTGCAATGTTTCGTAAATGCTTTAAAGGGTACAAAAGCAACTCATGCATATTTCTTTCTGATTGTCCCAGGGAAAGCAGAGACCCTTATTTCTCCCCCATTCTAGATGGGTCTGGGGCACAATTTCTAATCACATAATGAAAAGCATATGTCTCCAAGTCTTGACTTCCTTCCCAGGGAGATGCTAATTGCCAAAGCATAACCTCCCATTAAAGAGTATTCACTAAGGTGGAATGTGTTCCATTAACCAGTTATATTCACAACTCCCATTAGAGGCTGAAGGGCATTCACTTTACAAGAGCTCACTCAAGCAAATAACCAACAGCCAATGTAATTATTGGGTGGGATAAGCAGGTGATAAGGGCTCTAACAGTGGAATCCTTTTCAGTGTACAAAGGAACTTCTAAATGCTGTCTATGCCAGCTGCTCCCCTGCAGGCAACAGGAGACTCAGGCAATTTTCATTCCAACTAGTTTCCCACAATGGTTGCTGTCATACAGACCCTTCACTTTTCAAGAAAAATGACATGAACATATTGGAAGTTTGCAGCATTTGCCTACGTCTAAACAGCTCTCTTAATTTGTGCAGGTCCCTAAAATGGATGTAAAAGCTGGTTATGATGTTGACAGCCAAAAGGCAAAGGATATTAAATCAACTGAGCAAACTGCTTGATGCTCCACAAGTGTTTTAGAAAATAGTGAGTTAGAAAAGATGCAGATGTAAATCTTTTGCTGGATGGTTGCTTTTTCTATTTTTTTTTAAAATCTGAGACTTGGTTTTAGTAGTAGTCTTCATAGTTCTTAGGGTTCAGGCAGTAAAGGATGGCACCCCCAAATGAAAATATAGTTGCACCCCAAGCCAGGCCATAACCCCAGTTGAACTCATGGTAAATTTTCAAGCTCACAGTTTCAATGAACTTGATTGGGTAAAGAACCAGACTGCAAACCTGTAAAACAACTGAAAGAAAAGCAAATAAAAATTAGAAAATGTTATTTACAGGAAATAAAATAACATAAACATATAAATCGACATTTTAAATAAATAAGCATAAAAGTCAAAACATTTAAAACACTGGTTATTCTAGATGGCATATTTTAAAATATTAAGTTTTTTGTTTAAACACTTTCACAATATAGTAAGAATTACCTTATTAATAGTTAGTGAATCACTAGTATTTGAAGAAATAATTGGTACAATGTAATAATTTATATGAGAATACAAAGTAGTGATTCTCACCTTAAAAACACATATATTATTATCACTATGATGGCAAATAGTCCTAGTTAAATTAAACTGTTCTATTATACAAAACCTGTAAATAGTACCATAAAAACAGTGACCTCAATGCAAACTTAAACCCTTGTTATTTATTTATGTGCTTGAGGAACTTGGGAATTCAAATTCACTTCTCCTGATGAAACTGGTCAACCAGTTACATTCATTCAGAATTCATCCAAGATGTTCCTGTTTTCATTGTTGCTTTGCATCCAACTCAGTCCAACACTCCAGAAAGTTCTACCTTGATGTGTTTCTTTCCATTGTCTTGATCTAAAACTAGTTTCATTTTTTCTCTTTCATTTAGTTCATGCTTCTGATCTTTAAAAAGAGGCTCAAAAATAATCTTTTTCAAGGAGCTACAACTAATTATACCGTTTCTGTTGGATCTAACAGATGATATTTACACATGTATTTCCCATCTACTTTCTGTCAGTGAAGGCATGGAAGCTAATGTTACTGAAAAACTTGGGATAATGATGGCTACTACAGCAGAGCACAAAATTTAGTTTTTATTTTCTAGTTAGCCCTTAGTTCCCAGCCAGGACCAAAGAGGAAATGTGATGAGTCATATCTAACAAAATAATATATACCAATTAATCAGGAATGGAAGGGAAGGAAAGTTTTATTTAAAAACTATCTAAAATTAAAATGGCATTTATCCTGTGGATATTTTTATATGGGAGATGCTGGATTATAGAAGAGATGGTGTCATCTGTTTAAAATTCCTAACTCCCTATTGGATTCATTATTAAATAACTTATATTTTATTTAAATTGAATGAGAATTTATGGGCTGTATCTGCCTCATTCTCTACTATATGACAGTTTTAACTCTCAAGAAATAGACAATAATCTCCCTAAAAATCTAGGGTACAGTTTATATATAATAGGGATTGGCAAACTACTAGATCTGGTCTAGTGCTTGGTTTTTTATTTTTTTTTTATCGGTTGTTCAAAACATTACAAAGCTCTTGACATATCATATTTCATAAATTAGATTCAAGTGGGTTATGAACTCCCATTTTTACCCCAAATACAGATTGCAGAATCACATCGGTTACACATCCACATTTTTACATGATGCCATATTAGTGACTGTTGTATTCTGCTACCTTTCCTATCCTCTATTATCCCCTTAAAAACAGTTTTACTGGAATAGAGCCAGGCTCATCCATTGATATACTGTTCACATTACAATGGAAGAGCTGAATTCTTGCAGCAAAAACAAAATGGCCCATGAAGCCAAAAAATATTTGCTTTCTGAACCTTCACACAAAAGAAAAGAGCTAACCCCTGATATATTAAGTAAAATTCTTAGCTAAAATTATTATTATTTAATTCATCCTAAAATACTGTAAATTTCTCAAGTTCAAGAATAAAAATGTTAACAATAAAGGGAACGATTAAGGAATAAGAGAAAAAAAATTGACATAGTTTTATACATAGACACACACACACACACACACACACACACTCACACACACACACATACATACATAAAACCTAAGAGGCATACATCTTTTGAAATAGTTTACTAAACTTTTTAAAAAGAACAACAGTATGGATAACATTTTTAATAATACTGAAATTTTATGCTTTAAAATCCACTCTCATCTATTCTTTTTGCTTGTAAAGAATCATTTTGTCAATGATTAACATTCCTAGAAAAATCTACTTAACAAATATTGATCTCTGGCATAAAACTGAATAATTATAACAAATTCACAAGGACATGATTCCTTAAAAACATTACTTTCTCCAAGAACCTGACTAGGAAGTAAAGGGTCATCTGGAGTCAGATATATAATAATTCCAAACACCTTTGCCTTGTAGCTCAACATTGCTCTAAGCTCCCATCTGTCTGCCACACTTCCAAGTTACTACTGAGAGTGGATGGATAAATAGGTTCACATAAAAAGTGAATCTCTTGATAGCCAAAATAGGAATCACATCTGGTTTTAGCTTAAAAGACTTAGAAACTAAGGTTTAAGTCATTGTCAGGATTCAGTTGAGAATATATATAACCCACACTTCACCTATTTCTAGTGATACAATCTATATTAATTTAAAAAGTCAGGTGGCTCTGTGCCTTTGTGAGGGAAAAGAGAACCTTCACATTTTAAATGTCTTAAAACTTACAAAAAGTCAATTGCTATTAACCATGAACTACATAAAAAGAAATTCCAAAGTTACTAAGTGTGCTTTTAAAAAGGCATTTCTCCTTTGGTTTCTATACTCTGGTTGCTAGTCAAAATATGGCTGATCCTGCCAGGATATGATTGAGACAGGAATGTGAGTTAGATATAGGAATTCATTTACTCCTTCAATAAATTCATAATTCAATAAATACCTCAATGTTTCTAAAGTAACACAGTTTAGGGCATTATTGATAACAAAGGAGACAAGGGGCTATTGCCACGGGTAGGCAGCTCATTAGTAAATAAATACTGATGATAATGGCAAGTACTTTTAAGAGGCATGAAAATCCAAGAAAGCAGGACCAGTCAGAGGGATGAGTGCTGCTCTTTTAGATCAATAATGAAAAAAGGGAAAAGGGAAAAGGCCCCTCTGGGAAGGAACATTTGTGCACAGACCAGAATGGAATGAAATGGAGGCACACGTCAATATAGTGGGAAGTAAGTGCTGCAGGTAGAGGGCACAGTGATTGTAGTACAGAGAGTGAAAAGCCCCAGAAGGGCCAGCGGGGACCTACTCACGTTTCTTGGATAGCCTTGAGAACCATGGTTAGGGGTCTGGATTTTATTCTAAGTGTGACAGGCAGCTGCTAGAGGAATTTGAGCATAGAAGTAATAACTAATCTGAATTATATTCTAAAAGTATTACAATGCTTCTTTGAGAACCAGCCAGTCCCTGGAGTAACGTGTTTACCTATGCTGCTTTTAATATTCATTTCAATGTGTTTTATTTAGCCAATATTTGGCTTCCATGTTATAATATAAAAATATTTTCCTTATAGTGCAAAAGCAGAAATACAACTGCATTAGACTCCAGTGGCATACTTTCTTGAACTGCTTCTTTTAGACCTTTATTGTGTTGAATAAAGCCAGACGAAAATTACCCTAAAATGCTTTATGCCTCTGAATTATTTTACTTTCTCTGGAATCAAAGAAAAATGCATGCAATAGAAAAATATGATTCTGTATTGGTAAATAATTTTCTCCATGGATGTATCTAAAAATGCCTCCTTGTCTTTCATAAATTCTGCAAAGGGAGTGGAAACTACTGGAGTTCAGAATTCAAGAAAATGTCATTAAGACTAAATTTCTATTTTACCATGAATCAAAGAAACCTAATAGGCACTGGCTGTGTTATTCTCTGCACTCTGCCTCACAGACAACATAGGAAGTTATGAAAAATTTCAGAATTTATAAAGAATTTAGGGTTCATTCATGTTTCCCCTGGTTTTGTGAAAAGAGGAAATGAAACTACTGACTAAAAAATTATATGGAGAGAAGGATGCAAAGCTACTAATTCATGTGCTTTTACGTGCATATTTCAATATTAAAATATTCAAAACACTCAATATATTGAAATATTCAATATTTTTTTCTATGGGAATATTTCAACAAACATTTATTGGGTGTCCACCATGTTCTAGGTGAAGAGAATAAGAGAGGACCTGGTCCTTGACCTGGACATTTCACATTATGATTTGATTTGTACTTATCTGATAAGTACAAAGCAATGTGTTCAACAGCAGTTGTGGACATATTTATTTATAATCCATCCAACATACACTGACCAATCTCCAATAATATGACAATTACCAATCCTGCTTAGAGAAGGAAGGGAGGGCTTCAGAGTGGAAGCACTGTTTGAACTGGTTCTGGAAGGATGGATAGGAATTGGCCAGAAGAGAAAGATGAAAAGACCCTTGGGAACCAGAAGTGGTTTGTATGAACTCAGAGGTATAAGAGGGTATACCTATAGATAGTTCATGTGGGTAGAATAAAGGGTGCCTGCACAGTAAGATGTCAGATTCAGATTATAAAAGCCTTAGTGTATCATATAATAATAGACTTGTTTCTCATGCCATTCAGTACATGCCTTCAAATTGTAAGCACTTGAATTTCTTTGCCTAAATTTCCTCTGGCCACTAAAGCTACTTTGCCTGTCTGAGGGGTGGATCAGAAGTTCTGGAAAATAAACACTGCTATCCCTCAATCACAACTAAGCCCATTCCCACTGACTTGCAAAATTTGGTGTACAAACAACCCTGCTCCCTAGTCCCCCAGTGAGGTAACAACTTCTCCAGGAAGATTAAGCTCCAGCTGCTTCTGCTCTGAGTGACAACTGGCTTGGTAATGTTCCCTTTATTGGCTGCCTTCCCAACCCTGTCTCATTTTCCATATCCCTTACCAACCCCTCATTTTAACCTCCCATGAATAAAGTATTTACACTTGATTCCTTGTCTTGGGGACTGCTTCTATGGAAACAAAAGTGGCAAATGATGAGACCAGATTTCAGAAATATATCAGTTGTTTTTGTGCAAGACAGACTAAATGGGGAAGACAATAGAGAATGAAAGGGCCATAATGTGTCAGCCAGTGCCTAGGTACCTGTGTGCAGTGATAACTAAGGTGGTATCAGTGGAAAAGAAAAGCCAGAGAATATAAAGAAAGACTATAAGAAAGAACTGCAAAACTAAATTATAGGAAAGGGAAAAGGAGTCACAGACATTTTAAGTCATATATTGGTACAGAAAAATAAAAGAAAGTAGGGGGAGGCAAAATTTGGGAATGAAGATATGTCACTTGAGGAACATATGTAGATTCAACCAAGTGGTGTTGGGCTGGGGTGTTGTGGCTCAGTGGTAGAGTGCTTACCTAGCACATGCAAGGCCCTGGGAATGATCCTCAGCACAACATAAAAATAAGTAAATAAAATAAAGGTATTGTGTCCAACTACAATGAAAAAATAAATATTAAAAAAATATTGAAAAAAATAATGGTGGTGTATGAAGACAAGGTGCAGACTTAAGAGAAAATTAAGGCAGAATTGACAGACCTTTCTAGCCAGGTCCCTAAATATAGAATTTACATAAAGTAAATGACAATTTAAAGAGTAAAGAGATTTGTCCATGATGGACTAATATGAAGCTATCAATTCTTTAACTTATAACACCAAAAATAGTAGTAGTCTATGAAATTACTTATTGGGTAGCGACACCATAAATTGTACTAGACAAAGTGTAGTTTGATATTGGTACTTGGAAAGTAACATGGGATCTAAAGAACTGTGAGTACAAAGTCCTTTGAAGTTTGAAATCTAAGTTGACTTTTCTGCTAAAATTTAGACTCCAAGTGACTCTAGCCATCTTGTATTAACTTACAGGCTAGTTAAGAGGGGTGTAAACCATAAGCCTCTAATTAGAGACAGCTCAGAAATAGAAATAAGTTGCAGAACCTTGGAAAAAAAAGTCACCATTCCACATAAATAATAATAGGAGGCTTTTATAGATACAACAAAAAGGAAGCATCTTTAATAAAATAATAATTGGAGATTATGTTATTAAAAATCTGAATCATAAGAGACTAAAAATATTCTGTAATTTGTATTAATAAGGCTTTGGGGAAAAAGAAAAACATCGTAAATCCCTGTGGGGAATAAAAATGATCTCTAGCCAGTTCAAAATCAGACAATAAAAGAAGAGATCCAAGAAAGACAATCCCTCCAATTTTACCAAGTTTTTAATTAAGAGAACTGGGTGCCAGTTTTCACAATCATATCATATCCTGTCATTGAGAGCTATCCTAAAAGAAAATACTGTAGTAAACTGCACTAGAAACACACACAGATTTCATTATGTGCTATAGTTCAGTCATGCTGCACTGATCAGATGGTCTTTATGCCATCTCAAGTTGATGACTTCCTTCAGGTGTTATTCCTGAGATCGAGCAACTGAAGTTATAGGATGGACTCCAATTATAGTACACAGTTGGCAGCTGAATTCAAAATCCAGGTTGATTCTGCTTTGTTTTTTTGCATATATGATACACACCCCAGTAAAGATGACCGGTCAATTCACATAGATGTCCTGAATGTAAACTCTGGCTCTCCAACATACCAACTGGATAACTCTGGGATATTACTTTCCCTTTCTGAGCCTGTTTCTTCATAAATAATATGGGGAAAATAAGCATCTAATTTTAAGATTTTTTTTTTAAAGAGAGTGAGAGAGGAGAGAGAGAGAGAGAGAGAATTTTTAATATTTATTTTCTAGTTCTCGGCGGACACAACATCTTTGTTGGTATGTGGTGCTGAGGATCGAACCCGGGCCGCACGCATGCCAGGCGAGCGTGCTACCGCTTGAGCCACATCCCCAGCCCCTAATTTTAAGATTGTTATATCAGAAATAGCACATGTTAAAGTGTCTAAGACTGTAGCATATGGTAGATGCTTAGTTTATTATTATTATTATCATCATCATCATGGATAACATCTGGTTCTGAAATCTAGATTTCTAGGACTGGTAAGAGAGTTATAAAAAATGGGGCAATGGTTTAGAAAGGCTGTAATGATGGCTTGCTCTTGCTCTGCTACCAACTTTTCAAGCAGCTAACAAGCTCCCTTGACCCTTGTGGTAATGAAGGACCTCAAGACAAAGAGAGGATACAATCTTTAAAATTCCTTTGCCTGTCTTTATGAGATTTAGTCATCAGCTTTCAGGAAAAATCCTTAGAATTTATTATCTAAATGTTAAGATATTATATTTGCATACTATAGGTGTCTGACATTTGTTAATGAATGAATAAAATATTAAAATGAAAACAATCACTTTGATAATTATTACTAGCTTTGTGGTCATATGAAAGTTGCCACTTCATAAGTTCCAACAATAGAAATGTTTTTTAATTACAGCTGGTTGTTTACATTTTTGTATTTCCCCACTGGATTATAAGCCACATGACTTAGTCATCTTTTTAGCATTTATTCAGAAACGATTTACTGAGTGCATCTGAGTACCAGGCACAGCACATGGTACAGAATTAACTATGTAGCTCTGGATAGAGATGTTTCTAAGTGCCAGTGATATGTCTGTATTGAATTTATGTGCTACATGTCTCAGCAAAAGATGAAAAAAACATTTCTTTTTTGAGATAGGCATCATTCTCTATGTGTGTGAACACCAAAATAATACTTATTGTCACAAAGTTTGAGGCTATTTGGAGAAGGAAACATTTTGGAAAGAGAAACAGACCATTTACAAGTAGAACAAGATTTGTAAAAGGGGAAAATGGCCTGAAATACACATTTAGAAAGAATCACTACTTAAATGCATGTTTAATAAGAGGCAAGAAAAATAGAAAACCATAACTTTAGCTGGCATTGTTTCAAGTAGGCAGATTATCTAACTTTTCCAATCTTAAGCATAAATCAATAATAGATTATTATGCATAATGAATATCTTTCTTATCCAGAGATCAGCTGCAGGTAATTCTTTAATGCTCTTAAAATGGAAGAGAGAAACCTTTATGTGACATCTTACAACAGCCAGTGAATTTTATCTTATATGTACAATGAACACTAAAATAATGGTTATTTCAAAATATGTCCATAATCACACTGTCAAATGATAAAAGAGTAAAATTAAATCTCAATATATGTACATTTAAAAAATATAGTAGTATAATGCTCATTTTAGGTCTCAGAGGGTAGAACAACACTATGTGAATTTTGATGTAGGAATTCCTCTCATCATTTTATATTTTAATAATATATGTAGTAGGTAGAGCTAAATCAAAATATTTATTTCAGCTAAATCTATTACCTTTTACTTATGTCCATTTACAATGTATTTTCAATTACAACAAGTACTTATTTTCACAATTTTTTCTGTATTTGTAAAAATAGACATTTTTAGGAAAAAAAATCTGGAAACTTCCAGTTAATATTCTAAACATGTTTATAAGATATGGTATCAACAATGAACTTTTTGAGACAGAATTCCATTTCAAGAATTGTATATCATTGAATTTATCATGAATACTCTTATAATCAATTATCTAATCATTATGTTAATAAATCTTATCTGCAAAGATAGACATGATAAAATTGATATACCTAAATTATTTCATTCTAAGACAGAAAAAAAGTCATGGTAAATCCATGAACCAAGAAATAGATTAGAAAATAGTGATAGATCTTTAGGAGAACCTTCATGTTGTACTAAATCATTCACAACAGACTCTCATTACATGTGAGAGTAATAAAGTAATGATTACTATGGTCACTTCCTAAAACTTAAAAATGTTTCCTGTAAAGATGTTTTCTAGGCTATTAGACAGTATCCATGGTGATATTCTGGCCAATTTTACAGTTGTCTTAATACAATGTTTCTATAACAGGTACCCAAGGAATAGTTCAATGAATGTTCGAAGGAGTCAGTAATGAATAAACCTTAAACTAGTTTAAATAAGTCTTAAACTAGTTTAAGATTCAGTAGCCTTCCAGCCCCAGCTCTGTCAGTAATTATTATGTGATTTTTTGTTTTTGAGAAAAAGGAAAAAGAAGGTTTATTTCTTGGCTAGCAAAGGAGAAACACAGGGGACTCCTGTCCCATAGGCTATGAGTCTACTACTATGTGATATTGAGCAAGTCACTTAAATATATGAATTTGATGTACTTCTGAATTTCTTCAGCCCTTTAGGCCTTTGTTTTTATGACACTGACATTCTGATCATTCTTCATGGGTATAAGAAAATGAAGACAAACAGCAGGGGGCAGCAGAATACTTTGGATTTTACATTTTTAGCTCCAAGTACCCTTCAAAAATTCTGAGAAATTTCATCTATTCCAACCTTTAAACAGCTTTTAAAAATCCATCTAACAGCCTAGATGATTCTGTCAGTGTCTTCATTATTGACAGTCACAGGGGCTTATTTTGCAGTCTTCAAATCAGATATGATTGACAGGGTAAATTGAAGGCACCACAAGAATCTTTCAGTTTAAGTTGAAAAGAATAATATATTCAAGGATATTATTATAAATGAAAATTAAAACTCTCGTCAAATAATATACTGGGCTTTTAGTCCACAAGTCCCTTTTCTAAACAGCTCTCTTGCTTTTTGGTTTACCTTGGTTGATGTTTTAATTCAAGCTACACATCACAGAAAGACGGTTGTTAAATAAACGAACATACAATTGGTTTCATATAATTAATTTGCCTGATGGTTCCAGGTTATGTGGTGATTTTTCAGTATAACCATGGTTACTTCCAAAGAGATGTATGATTTTTGAGGGTGCACATTTTGGAATTTTTTTTCCAGTTTCATGTCAGAAAAAAAAAATGATGCTGCCTTAAGATCACCAAGGGGGCAGTATAAAGGAGAAAAAAATGGATGTAAAAAAAGACTTCGTAAATACATCTGCTGTAGTTCCTAAGGCAACATCCCTGACAAGATGTATTATTTATTCACATTTGAGTTCAAAGTTTAGAAGTTGACACTGTGCTCTGTGAAATGCTTAACATGCTAAAAACTGATAATATTATGTCTTCAGCCCATTTACCTTAAAATATAACAAATGTTTCTCAATTTTTATGTCATATAGCAAATGCATACTGCTTCTGTATGAGAAGAGATGATGGCAGAAAAGTTCTTGAAACTTTAATACTGGTTTGGAAGTATGAATATATTTACCTGCTGCAAAAAGCATGACAGCAACAGGTCTGTAGAAGCGCCTTCGGGATCCCACGCAGATAGAAATCAAACCCACCAGGAATGCAATGAGAATGATGGCAGCACCACCCAAGAGTAAAGCCAGAGTAGCAATCTGCCAGTCTGGAAAGGAAAAAAAAGAAAGGCATTGCTTTTAAGCATTAAGTCCTCAAAGAATCAACAGAACTAACTTAGCAGCCTTCACCTTGCTGCAGTTCAACAAATGTGATTTTACTGCACGCTAAGCATCCTCTGGGGTTTGAAATGTTTTGCAACAAAAATTAATATTAATGTCTTTATTCAGAAATGGCTCCTATGCTAAGCTCAGCAGAGTTTTTAGACTAGGGGTTTGCCATGCTTTTCTTCCAAGCACTCTTATTAAGCATTCTTGTTAAATCGAGTGTCCCCTCCATGACCTATTTTCAATATTATTAAGATTTAAATTTTTATTGATCTATAAAGCTCACAAATCTTAGAGGAAAAAAATAAGGATGAGGATTAGTAATATATATATATATATATATATATATATATATGTATGTATATTAATGTAATGACCATCCAGATTAATGAACAAGAAAGTTCCCATGTCCCTTCCCAGTCAATAACCACCATCCCACCTGGGTAGTGATCACATCTATCACCATGGATTAGTTCAGTTTGTCTGTTTATAAATAATATTATAAACACTTTTATGTGTGACTTTTAAATCTCTGAAATTCATCCATGTGGTTGTGTGTAGCAGTAATACATTCTTTTTTAGTGCTGTTCCTTCTTAGAAAGCCTTCTTTGACCTCATAAAAATTCTCCAAGTTTTTATTTGCCTTCCCTCAACCACTAAAACAATTCCCCAGCCAATTAACTTCAGGAGGATTTGTTGCTGTTTGTTTGTTTGTCCTCTCTTTTATTTCATTCTTATCTCACTCTCGGATTTACTACTACAAGAGTAGTTTCTGAAATTAGGTATTCCTACGGAGCGAGAATGGATTAAAAAATGGCTGCAGGACCCCCTCTCTTCATGTACAGATGAAACAGCCTATATTGACCACTTAGTATATGCAAACATTATGGACACATCAACTGAGTCTCCCACATACTTCATAAAAAGTAAACCTCAATGAATGTTCTCATTTCTTACAAAAAATAAAGAAGTAGTTATGGTATGACAGAAAACTGGCCCATTTTCCTTTCCTAAGGAAGGTAGAATGTTCTCTCAGAAGAAGCAATGTGAAATTATGAAAGCACTACTCAAGCATTACACTATACAGTGGTGGTTCTAAGTCCCAGACTGCCTCTTCTGGCCCTTAGTTTAATGAATATGTAGCAAATGCAAATACATTTTAATCTATTGTTAAATTGCAACATATTATAGTCAAAGTGCAGACTCATGATATTTTGATGCTTTCTTTTAAAATTATCCTTCTAAAAAGCTTCCCAAGTAGTCAGGCATGGCCGTGCACTCCTACAATACCAGCTACTTGGGAGGCTAAGACAGGAGGATCACAAGTTGAAGGGCAGCCTAGACAAATTAGTGAGACCCTGTTTCAAAATTAAAATATAAAAAAGCCTATGAGCATAGCTGGGTAATAGAGTACTTTCCTACCATGTGTGAAGCCCTGGAAAACACCAGAAGCACAGAGAGGGGATGGGGGGGGTGCACGTGGAAGTGGAGGGAAAGCTAACTTCCAAAGTATACTTTTCCACACTCTTTCCTAAGAAATCCTAATTTTTTTTTCACTAGTATGTAACTAGAACTTAAACAGCAATCAGGAAACAAATAAATAAGGGGAAAATAGAACAAATCCACACTTCTTAAAAATATAAAGATGAATCACAAGTAAGTAGAAAGCAGTTTTATGCCATCTATTTGTAAGAAAGTCATATAACTTCAAACAAACGTGTATCTGGCTTTTAACTAGAAGTTAAAAGGATAGCCATACTATGGCTTTTTTATTCCCGAACAGCATGTAGCTTTGAATTAAAAAAAGCCAAAAGAATAATCCTTACACTTGGAAGCCTCTAAATTTCTTTGGAAAAGTTTATACATAGAACATTATTTAATATATTGGAAACCCTTCTGAAAACTTGTGTGTAAATTGAAATTTCTGAAAGAAAAAAAAATCAAAGTTTAATTATATCAAAGCATAGAGGGTACAAAGAATAAAATCTATCCAACCATCCATCCATCCATCAATGTAATTCCTGGAGAGTTCAGTAAGAGCACCTATGCTAAATACTCTTTTAATTATCTACTACTTTTATAAAATGAGTAGTATTTAACAACTTTCAATAAATTACTTCATGTAGATTTTTTAAAGTGTTAGTTTCATTTAAACTAATATAAAACTAAATCTCTACCCATTTAAAAATATCTTAAAATAAAACTACAATTACTTGCTTTTTCCTGATAAACTCCTTTTCATAACTCAACATGCATAAAATATAATACATTTGACTATTTTCACTTCCTACCCCAAATCAAACAGTTATAATTTTGGCTACTCCTCTTTATCTTCTTTCTTTCTTTTTTTTTTTTTAAAGAGAGAGAGAGAAGAGAGAGAGAGAATTTTTTAATATTTAGTTTTCAGTTTTCGGTGGACACAACATTTTTAGTTTATTTATTTTTATGTGGTGCTGAGGATGAAACCCAGTGCCCCGTGCATGCCAGGTGAGTGTGCTACCGCTTGAGCCACATCCCCAGCCCTCTCTTTATCTTAAATAGGCTCCAAGAATAGCTAAAAACACAATATACAATTGTTTTCATTTTATATAGATAGACTAAGAAAAAACATCAAACTTTCTCTATAAAGAGCCAAAAAATAAATAATTTTGGCTTTTTGGTCATGGTCTCTATTGTATCTATTTGACTTTGCCATGTAGCATGAAAACAGCCATACAAAATATGTAAACAAAGGAACATTGCTGTGTTCCAATAAAAGTTTATCTATAAAAACAGGTGGCAGGCTAGTTTTGACCCTGTGGTTGGGTTATTATTTGGTGCTTCCTGGTCAATGTTTCATTTTCAAATGTTCAGGTAAAGGTCCCTCAAATAATAAAAATCACATAATAAAGTTAATTTGGATAAATGAGTAATATAGAGTACAAAGTGATGTTTATCCAAAATAGCAATAGAAAGTAACAACAAAAAGTGCTAATTTCACACAATGTTAAATTTCCTCCAAATAGTGATACTTTATTTCATATGGAGAAGCAATAAAATGCCACAGTAGAAAACACCTGGAAAATAAATGTTATTAAAAGGCACTAGAACCTTATCAGGAAAGGAATCTCTTATAGCACAGGGAATACTTGTAAAAAGTAGGTGAACACAAGCAGTTCATGTTTTCTACTAAATGTTCTATATATTTAGTATTGAGTTTGTCGCTAATAAGAAAGTCACTCTAGATACAACGTCAACAAAGATAGTCACCAGTATCATCACTGCTGTGGTATTGCTACCCTTCCCTTTGATCTACAACCAAAGCTTCAACTACTCAAACAGAAAAGCTGTTTTATTTTCCAAGAGAGACTAGAAATGTCCATGAATGCCACTGTCCTAGCCAGAAGCTGTGCTCAGACTGGACTACTGAGACTATATCACTGGTGGACAAGTGCCAAGTTTTAGCATTATTGTCACATACACTTGGAAGGACTCAGGCTGTTTGTGTAGGACTAAAACTTTAAATAGCTGCCTACCTTAACCTCAATTAGAAAGCAAAGAATTTGGTTAAATATGGCTATCATAGACATGGAGGCCTAGGGTGCTTTTCAAGGTTCAGCCTGGGCATTTTGGAGCTGAAAACAGGGTTTGTGGCATCCTGTCTCTTTGAGAATATAAGCAGAATTCACTGTTTAAGCATTAGAGTGAGCCTGACAGATGAACACAAAGTCAGAAACTGTGTAGATTGGATGGTTACAATTTCCTTTTTCTTACTGAACAAGACTAGGATATGGGGGAAAAAAGTAAAACATATTTTAATGATACCTAGCACTGGCTATTAAAATAATAGACTGGGCTTCCCATTACTCAATCAAAGCCCAGTACTAGCTTTAGCAAGAATATGTACATATAAAATGTTTTATTATATTCTACAGGACTTGGAGAATTTTACAGGCATATTATATCTCTACCCAAAGGGTTTCTCCATTAAGGTTTGCATGCAAATATTTGCTATCTCATATTCAGTGTTTGTAAAATAAATTAAAATTATGATATACAATTCTCAATTTTCAGCCCCATTTCTTTAAAAAGTCGTGTATCTTAATTTCTCATCATCAGTTCATTTCTGTACCAGTCTTAGTCCCCCAATGAAAGTCCTCACAGTATTTAGTCAGATGAAGTGTTAAGAGTCCTTAGAGATTTATTACTCTTCATTAGTTTTCCAGTTTTGTAAGTGATGTACTTATACTATAGTAAAGCAGTAAACATAATTCAGCCTTGAACAACTTCAATAGCCATGGTGCTGTTTTACAAATTGCAGTGTTCTGCACAATTAAAACTGGCCATTGTTCAATGTTAGGCCAGTTGATTGGAAATCTAAATTTGTTATCCAAGATGTAGGTGAGCAGGTGGTAATCAGTTTTGAGGAAATAATGTGTTGCCTTGGTTTATAAGCTGGTGAGGGCTCAGATGGGCAGGGTAGCATGTTTTGGATCTGGAAACCAAATCTGAAATGAGGCTGCCATATTACATGTCAGATTCCCTCAAGATTATTTTGGCAAAACTGACAGTATCACACTGGAGGCTTTGGAACTGAACCTAGAGAAGCTGACGTTCAAGAAAAGTACATTTACATGTATTCCCCCACAGTAAGAAGATAAAAACCAGGCCATCCCTATATAACATTAAATTTAACATTAATATGCAACTCAGGAACTAAAGTAGAGTCCTCTTTCAAGGTATTTGTATTAGCTGGCATCAGAGTTTTCTATGTCTGTAAATGCTTTAGTATTCTGCAGAATTATGCTGACTTACTTAGTATAATATGTGAGACTAGGCTGAAATAGCCACTGCATTATGAAAATTCTATGGGCTGCATTAAAACTCTTTTTTTTTCCCTTGGGGAATTCACAGTCAAAATCCACTTACTTTAAGGAAAGGCAAAAATCTTAATGAGGGTACA